GACTAGAAGACCCCCAAGATCCCTTCCAGCTGTGATTGATATTTGAATCTGCATTATTTTTTTTAAACCAGATAACAAATACCTGTGGATATTTTGTTTTCATATTTGCCAGAAATTATGCCTCAACATACCATTGGCTCCAGTTGCCCTAACTGATCTTTCAAGAGGAATGCAGCTTTAGACCCCTTCGTAGCAAAATTGGGGGTGGGGATGAGTTGCATACAACCAGATATATGCTTCCAAGTTTAGACATGGGTTTGTGGGTATTTTTTTTTAAGATTCTAAGGCCTTGCATTTTTCAACTCTAGATTAACACAAGGTACTCTATGATACAGGTGGATGCTCTGGAGAACACGCTGAAAAACACAGAAGATCACTATCTCAGTGGCCTGGCCAATCTGAACCAAATTATTGCTAAACTGCAAGAGGACTTAGCAGCCTGCCAGGCTGATCTGGAGACCCAGTCCCGAGACTATGAGATACTTCTGGACCTCAAGACAAAGCTAGAGAATGAGATTGAACACTATCGTGTTTTGATTGAGGGTGTCCTAGACAGGTGATAATGGGATGGGTCTCTCTTTCCCCTATTCATCTTTCTTGGGTCCAAACCCATTTTGGAGGCATTATATTTCCTGGTTATTCTACTGGGTCCACAGAGAGTTGCACAAAACTGCAGCCAAGGGTTGATCCAGGACTATTTTCTAATATTAGCCATTAAATGGAGTAACTGCCTAACATAGCAACAATTACAGTAGCTATAAAGTGAGCCCTCCGAACATTTGTTTATTTAAAATAAAACTTTTAATATAAATTTGGCCCTGCATTGTGATATAAGACATTTGCTTACTCAAAGGGAAAACCAAAAAATATATGGTTATCCCAATGCAGGCTATATGTACTTCTCCATTTACAGATAACAACAGGGCCGAAAGTATGTCAGGGTAGGCATTTCCAAAATCGGAAAATTCTGATCAGTGAAAAGAGACATCACAAACTCTTTGTTGCTCTTAATGTAAAAAATTAAGTCGTTAAAATACTTAACATAAATTTCTTTGCTTCCCCATTCAGATATAAATAAATTTTTCTATGACTCAAACCATGATTTTTTTCCATTTCTATTTAAGGTTGCAGCAAAGTATATGATTGAACAAGTGCTCCCTAATTTAACCATTCTCTAATCAGATCAGATATGAAGGGGAGAAAACCATTCAACTTATCAATGGAATATATGTTCAGATGCAGAGAAAGATTATATATATTTTAGAATGGCAGAGATAAAAAATAATAATCTCAACAGTCTTTCTTTTCCAACCTTTAGAGTGAAGCTGCTCTCAAGTGAATTTTATCCTATTGATGGTTTAAAGACACTTGCAGGATTTACTTATGGCTACCTTGTGAAGTCAGGAGTGAACAGTTTTGTCAATTATTCTAAATTTCTTAAATAGCACCTAGAAAACATTCTGTCTTCACTAAGGTAGCAGGTGTTTGTAGAACCTGATCTCATGGGTGTTGTGATACAGGGATAAACAAATATGTAGCAGGAAGCACTCCGAGTAAGCAAATTGTCTGGTGACAAAGCACACAACATTTGCCATGTTTTGTATTTGCAGAGGGGATGTGTTGAGCTCAGGAAAAGCAGGTAAGTAGCAGTGGAGCCATTAGCACACATAACTATCTGCTTCTGGCATCTGCTATTTGTCATTCTCATGGTCCATTCTCCTGAGCTTTGGTGCTGCTTTCCTCAGTCATTTTAAAAAGGCAGAGGCTAAAGATTGTTGGACTGAATCAGTTCAAGTCCACAGGGACTGTAAGCATTTGCTTTTGCCAGAAAAATAGCACTACTTCTTTTAAGAAGTCAAAGATTGATATCCATATGCTCACAAAATCAATAAAGCCAATGCATTTGATAGTAGTTTCCTTCCGAGAAGTAGTGCATGTAGCCTCCATATAAATATAGAAAGATTAACAAAGCACTCTTGCTCGTTTTTTAAAGGGGAATTTCAAACTCAACATTAATTCTTTTAGAACCTGTCTTAGCCCCGACAGCACACACCTTTTCAATTGGTTATTCAGTTAGCAAATCTAGCTTTAAAGGATCTACATCATCTGGTTCAGATAAGGGGCCTATGCTTGCCAGATGTTCTTCATAGTCTGTAATTCTTATCTGTTCCTTATGGCCTTCTTTCCAATCACCTCCCCCATATGCCTCAAGAAATCCTACTTAATGGGAAAGGACACAGACATACAGTATACAAGTTTTAGGGAAACTTAAGATTACAAATGAAAGAGGACAATCAGTGTAAGAGGAATTTGTTATTCGTTTCCCCTGCATACTGTCCTTCCAGCATCCATGCAAAAAACATTAGTAGCATATTCCCAGATCTGCTAAACCTTTGGGAGGTGACTTTGCTGCTGCTGCTGCTACAACTGCTGACTTGTAAAAATACTATAGTTAATTTAATCCTAGTTCAAACATGGTCTGTCTCTAATCAATTCATATTTTTTCCACTTTCTGCAGAGATCAGGAGCCAAAGAATTAAAAAGGTGGTGGTCTTCACACACAAAATTGTGAACGGGCAAGATGTGACCCAGAGATCTGAAGAAATAACTCAATAGGACTTCCTAATACTTTACCATCAATATTTTTTCTGTTGACTAAAATAACAACAAGGAATTCAACATCCTGTTGTGATATTTGCTAACTGAGTCATGCTAAGTTTTTTAAATATTTTTTTTAACTTATAATAGAGATTGAAAGTTACTTAAATGATAATCATATTACTACTGATATTGTGTTGTTTATTTCTCTTCTGCTCTTCATAATCTTTTGAAAATGTGGGCATAATTCTATACATTTAAAAGGAGTGGAACCCTCAAGTCCATATATATCCTCCAAAGACACAAAGAAATCCAAGTGTTTCAATGTAATTTTTTTCAGAGTTAGTACATACTGATAATTTTCTATTGCACTGAAAATACAAAATAAACCTGACTTACAAATAAAAGGCATCTTATTCACTATAATAGCATTTCACTTATTTACGTGTATGAAGTCTTTGGTTCAAACTCACCAGATTTTTCCATCTTTGCAACCTGAGATTTTTATCTATTGAGGGCGTGCATTAAATTTTATATACACAGTTTTATATTTCTTTCCCATAAACCTTTTCTGATTCTGTTGAACACAAACAAGTAACAATGAATACCCCATTAACCATGCTGGGTAAGATAGAAAGATCTCCTTTATTAATGAACCCAACAATATTTCTTCAGATACAGGAATTGTGAACTCAAAATACTTGGAAGAAAAACAAGTTAATATTGCATTATTACCTTAAGAAATACTGCAACTCATAACCGGTAAACATATTGCAAAGCAAAACAGCTTGAAAAAAGGGGAGAGGGAAGGAGGAAAGAAAAGAAAGAAAATGGATCAAAATGGAATTAAAGGATGTTTCATTTTTTTAATTAAGTCCTTGCAAGCACAGCTCGATGCCACAGATCACTTTCCAAACTTGTGTAGAAAACATCACCCGATTACTTCCTTAAGAGCCCAGAGAGGTGCAATATTAAAAAGCTACGATTATCAGGTAGCAAGTGCTCCAGCCTTCTACCGCAGTTGTTCGATTCCACCTTGCCTCAGGCTTTAACGGGACGCAAAGGTCTTCCCCCTGGCAAGAAGTCAGAGAATGCAGGGTGAGGGTGGTTTATGATTTTGGGGTTCTAAGATTTACCCATGTCCCATTCATTTTATCCAGCAACAATCATTCAGAATATCATAATCTTACATTTCAGACTTAAATACCTACTATTCTTCTTCTTGCTAACGTAAAATTTCTTCAATGAGCATGAAGACAGGAATGGAATGGTTTGATTATCAAAAATACATACTCAACATGAGTAACTCATAGTCATTAAGAATTGTGGCAATCTAGTACATTTCACTTTCCCTTCTTTTCAAAATCAGTAGTTACTTTGACCCCTTTCATTTTCATTTCACCCCAGTCTTGTTCACCCCATCTGTTCAATAGGTCTTTATAAATTAGAGATGAGTACATATTAAGCTATTTTGAATGAAGTGTCCTTATGTGGTACAGATAGGTCCCTGACTTATGACCAAAGACAGTTCAAAGTTGCAACCTGTACTCATATTTATGATGGTTGTACCACCCCAGCAGGCATATGATCGCGATTTGGGTATGTGACAACTGGCTCGCATTTATGATCAGTTTGCCACTTTTTTGGCAGTTTTCTGTAAAAAAAAATCTCTACTGGGGAAACTGGGTTCACTTAATGACCAATGTGATTGACTTAACAATCATGTGATTTGATTTATGACTGTCCTAAACCTGGTTGGATTTGGTCACACAGTGACTTCACTTAGAACTACACTGACTTACTACTGAAATTCTGGTCCTAATTTTAGTAATCGTAAGTTGTGGAGTACCTGTATCGCAAAAAATTATGTGCACCGCACTTCTAGAAATATTCTTATATTTCTAGTTTACACATATAGACTGCGCCTGAATTCATGCACTTTGGTGAACAAATGTGGCTAATTACAAATATGAGAGTGAAGGTTCATTCTCTGAGCTTGTGGGTTGGTTTCTGAATGTTTCATATCCAGGCTAGGTAACATCTTCAGAAGAGTTTAGGGGATATCAGTGTTCTTCTGTTTCTAAGGGCTTCAGGTGTGTGGGTGTGTTACATCAGGTCAGGGTCATTGGAGGGTGAACTGGTGGGTGAGAGGGTTGCATGGGTCAGGTGTGAGTTGTCAGTGAGTCTTGTAATAAGG